TACCACTGTCATCAGGTAGCAACAGGTACCGGTTCATGAGAAGAATTAGAAATTATCTTTACACTTGCCCAGGGACAAACGAGCCCAGACTCTTCACCATCTCACAACACTCGATAGAGAGGGACCGATTCCCTCTCACTATGGCTCAGATGCCTGTACATCAGTAAACAGTGCATAATGTAGTATAATCGCTAAAACATAATCTTTACAGCTACGAACAATCATTCTGGAGTGACAGGAGTCTTCGAGAAGTGCCCATCGTCAATTTCATCTCCAGATCAGCTCTACACACTGGAAGTGGGAGACAGGAGGTGACTGGTTGAACATCTCACATACCATCACAGGGTCTACATGTTTACATTAGTTTTTTTATTTTATTTATTTATTTATTTATATTTTTTTTGGAGGCTGCTTCGACTCTTGTTTTTTGGGGGTTTTTTTGTTTCAGTAAGTATTTTACAGCACTTGCAACACAATTATTAGGCAAAATAAATGCCCAGATCAGATGTGTTACAAGTGTAACAAGAGAGAACACTAAGCAAACACAAAAAGGGTAAGAGACAAAGACAACAGATGTTGAATAGTAAAGAAGGGGCAAACCACACCAGAGCACATCCTGCCAACCATCCATGCTGCCAACTCTTGCCGTTAAGGCCAAGATGGACTGTGCTGTACACCACACACCAATAGAAAGATGAAAATCTCAACATTGTGGGCCTTAAGTCTGCAGAGGGATTTAGTTGGGTGTGTGTGTGTGTTTGGTAATAATTTTAGAGAGAATTTTTTGGCACTTGCAACATAAACATATATGTTTATATAAGTGCCCAACGTTCGAGGTTTTACTGAAGGAAAAAAGTAGCAAACCCCACCAACCACCTATCCTGGGGAAGTGGCACTCCGCAATTTGGCAACGACACGCATATCAGCAGAAAACATTTACCTTAACACATGCCTGCAAGGCAAAGTGCATACCACTATGTTGCAGACTCATTACCGCCATTGCAATAGGAGATCCAGACAAAATAATAAGGACAACAGCCTTGCCAACAGCACAACTACAGGGTCATCTAGTTACCTACACCTCAGCACAAAACCTACATGCAGACATGAGACACCAGGAACAGCATTCGCAAGAGAAGGTGAATAACATTATAAACAAATAACAAACCCACTTTCGGGCAAACTGTGATTGCAACATCTTCTACACATTGTAACTGAAAAAGCCTCCCTGGACACAATTCTTCACGGAAACACAGCCACAAGTTAGGACACTGGTCAGCTGAGGGTGAATGATGACTGTACTGTTACACTGTAAATATTTTTCTTTCCCACTGACAAAAATAGAGATAAATCCTTTAGGTGCCCAAAGTCAAGGGCTTGAGAGAACAAAACAATTGGCGGGGACCATCACCATAGCCCCAACATTAATTCAAAACACATTCCCTGAACCAGCTGTCCATATGATTTTTATCAGGCCAGCGGATCCCCCGGAAGAACTTGTTCTTGCCCAAGTACGTGTCATGTGTACCCATATCTTTCAAAAAAATCCTGGAATACATTTTTTGGATGGCAGCAATGAAACCAGACAACAAACATAGATTTCCCTGAAATGAAATGAGGTGAATAACACAATAATTTTCAAAAACCCAACCCAACACCACATTATTCTCAGGATGTTGAGCAGCATCTACACCAAAACAGAGTCACATGTCACATGTGTTTATTCAGTCCCCTTCGCAAAAGAGAAATTCTGAAGAAATGATGGTATATATTGCTTCCTGATGACAGATCATTCAGAAATTTCTGTAGTAACTACCGTAAAAATGGTTGCCCTATCCATAACTGTGGATTCATTCAGCACTTCTTTTTGGGACAAAACACATGTTGACATAAATTTTGAAAAATGAAAAAAAAAAAAAAAAATCAGTGACAATGACACTTGTCACTCAGCCGAAGGCAAGCTACTACAACTAGAACAAGCCCCAACATTCTAGCAGGGATGTATGTGTTTAAATATCATGAAATCTTTATTTTGTCATTATTATCATTAAAATATTAACTCTTCAAGGGGCTCAGGCCGTATGTCCTTAGAAACAAACAAAACAACAAAAGAAATGTATACATGAATAGTTAAAGGTGCAACAACATCACTGTGACCTTGACCTTACTCAATGCACCAACACAACAGCTAGAGAAAAGAAAGAATCCAAGTAACCGTCATGTGGGAAGTACAGACCTAGAAACAAACAGTGCAAAAGAGGGCATAAATGATTGAACGTATGTAAATGTTTTTAGACCATTTACAACATAGGCTGCTTACACAAAGCCCATCAGGACCAACCTGGGCTGAGTGGGACACAGCAACCTAACAGACAGACAGACAGACAGACAGAGAGACAGACAGAAAGAAGAAGAGAGGAGGAATCCAAAACCGACAATTTCTACCTGCAACAGCGAAGGACCAAACCACTACACCGTGGTCGCTGGTAGACATATAGTCTGTTTAAAGAAAAAAAAGAAGCAACGTACAGAGGTCAAACAGAGCACATCATTCTACAGGTACCGACTAGTCCTAACTGTCGTAACAGTCTTTGCAGCTTACTAAACAATCCCTAAAGAGACCGGTTGACATTCAGTACACAAAATGACAGTGATACACCAGTACAAACTTTGTCAGACAAGAGACAATCTAGGAAAATCATAGCTTTCTGGGACACAACAAACTTCCAGAAAAGTGCAAACTTTACCGTCCTCTCGAATAAATGCTGCAAGTTGTAACAGTCGTACACACTACATCACACCTGTAAGTGTTCAACATAACTCCATTTGGTTATTCAACAATGCGGATGCTCAACAACAGAAAGCATCACAAAATATAATAATTAAACATTTTCTATTCACAAAGTGTGAACAAGAGAAAACATAGGAACTTTTCTTCTACAAACAGATTATTTCAATCAAACACTGTCCACACGTGCACACCAATCCAAAATATTCACAAAAAAACGTCCAGATCTCTGTATTTACACTGTGAAAAAGTGTTGACCCCCCCAAAAGCCCCAAACAGAACAACCCCAGTCACAAACCTCAACAATCCCCCCACCCAATAAATAAGTCCACAAACCCAAAATCAAACCACTGAAGAAAGTGATCATATGGGTTTTATCAACAGTGAGGATCTTACTTTACAATAAAAGACTGCCCTTTTCTACAAATATTCTCAAGCCAAAACAATTATATTGTTCAACAATGAACCCCCATTCCACCCTGAAAAACAATTTCAAGTGCCTAAAATCAAATCTCTGAAAGCGATCATATATGTGTCAAGACGCGGTGGAATCAGGCACCTGTCAGTTTTTTCAGCATATTGAGATATTGGTACCATCTGAAAGCTTATTCATTTGTTTTGCTTTCAATGAAAAAAAAACGGCATCTATCTTGAAAAAAAAGTCAAGATATTTGCGACAGAGGAGGCGAGGTCGCCTGTTTTCAGTGGTGAAACTAACAAGAAAATGGCCGCCAAGGTTCGGTAACTCCAATAGAGTCCTTTAAACTGGAAAATGACATAGTTTGTGCCTTTAATCAACGTTTTTCAATCAAATTCATGTGGAAATATGTTTTTGTATGCCCATAAATGGGTTATGGCTTCCAAAAAAAATAATTTAAAAACCATAAAATTGCCAAACGGGTGGAATAGTGCCCGTTACTCTGATTTTGTTATTTCGACGAGTGCCTGATTTCACCACGATGCCTCACATATAGTGTGTTTCAAAAACAGCAAGTACAGCCTTCCTTCAACTACTTCTGGCAAAATTAAAATGATTATGGAAATGAACTAATAAACAAGTCATTCCTTTCCAGAATCATAGCCATGAGCAAAGGAAACTCCAGCAGGATATTCAGTCAGAAGTAAAGGAAAGAGTTCAGAGACCTCAAAAGCAAATATGGTATAATCTTTAACCTTTGTTTGACCAAAGAGAGTGCATGTCAATAGAATAACTGCCAAGTAGCACTGGGAAAAAGCAAGACAGGCAGAAACAAGGGGAAAAGAAAGAAGTAATGTAAAATCTACAAGTGACACCCTTTAACCTCCTGCAATACCTCCAGAGGCACAACTCCACAGGCAAAACTGTACATGTAAGATATAATGCTCCTGTACAATTTTAACCCCTCTACTAGTTAATTTAACACCCTCTGTGTGTCAATGGCAAATAGTGTAACTATTACATCAGACGCCTGTAGGCAAACCATAGGAGGCTCACTCGTCAAGAAAATTGCTCCTTCTCCACTAAAGTATAATACGGTTCTCCTAGCTATACACCACAAAACTTGGCAACATGTTTGAACAAAAATGACATAAAACACACACCAAAAAAATTAAAAATCTCTCAACATCCCATAATTAAGTATTTAGCAATCAATAGCTCAAAACAAAGTAGTTTACATCAGGCAGTACAAAATAGCAACATGGACTGTGAAAACTGGATACTTTTTCAAGATCAACCTGTTCCGGTTATTTTTTTCCTTCTTTTTGTGTGCCACGTGTTGGCAAAAAATGGGATGAAAAATTGAAATCAAACAAAAAAATATGCACGGTAATAGTATAGTATCTAAATTATGTTGGAGAAATGTTTTCAAGTCTACAGGTATATTTTATAGACAGAGTAATGTCTTGCAATTATGATCTCCATGTGGTGAACGCCTTGTTCATTAATGATACGTCGATCAAAGAAAACGAATCAACACAAGACTTCAAACACAAAATTTATAAAATTTCACAGCTGCTATGATAGCAAAATAAAAGAGAGCCCTCGTGAATGAAGACTGACACAGAAGTAAAAACAGTCAAGCTCTGATGGGGTTGTCCAAAAGAAACAGCAGGCAAAAACCAGCAGAACAGAAAACTAACAGAAGACAAGACTGAAGTGCCCCAGACCAACAAGTCTGATGATAGCAACAGCAAATACAAAGGAGAATGAAAGGTGATGATAGGGAGCAAAATAATACCTTGACAGTAATATTCAATGACCCGTTTTCTTTGTTCATTCATTTTAGACACTCCTCAATTTCATGAATGACGTCTATCTTTTATGGAAACCAACTACAGTTTGTGATTAAAGAAATGCAGGAAACTGTTTTCACCTATTGAAACTACAATAGTGTTATTGGTGATAATGCCCTTACAAATACTCTGTGCAGGTTGGACATTCAACTCCTATCCCAGTAAGGTTCCCACTGAGTGAAAAATTGTATAATATAATAACTGCAACTAGTAGATATTGATCAGAAACATGTTGAAAGTACAAAAGTTGACTGTGCTTTCCTTGTGCAATCACGTTTCATATCCCCCCCCCCCCCCCCCCCCAAGAATCATACTGAGGTAAACTGTGTCAATAGTGCTAACTCTCAATGTTCTCAGTGTAATCTTTATGTTTTATTTGTTGTCCAAGCTGATCCACTTACTGAAAGGAAATCAAAACTTGGAGGAAAAAATATTTTAAAACCCAAAACCCACCATACGGAAAACTTCAAAACAACAACAGACAGGCACAGTTCCAGAATCAAACAATTTCAAGCTAGAAAGTGAGTAAGAGTTGGCAGAAATAACATATGTCAGAAAAACAACTCTATGCTTGGGGTGTTAATGAGTAAGTAATAACAGAGTGTGTCATCATCTTCATAATTCCCTGACTAAATCTACAGCAAATTAAAACCGTACAGTGTTATAGTCACAAATTTTCAAAGCCAATAAACCAATTTTTGCATGCTTAATGTTTACATGGCATAGAAATTAATACACTCTGAACAAAAGAAACAAGAAAAACAAACTTACTTCTAATTAAATATTTTGAAACATCGTTCTCAGTTAAATTAGTCACGGTATTACAGATACGTCCTTATGTTATAACATCTTGACTAACATTTGACGTCTAACTCAATTTTGATGGAACATAACCAAGTACACAGTGTTCATTTGCTTTCAGTAAAAATCTAGAATCATTGCACACTCAGACTAAATGCCTACATAAAAAACTATATTAAGCCAAAAAGAGTTGAATCCCCCCCAATTCATTCTTCAACTGTACTAATGCAAACATTTATTTTAAGACAAGCAGATTTCCGTGACCTCCGCTATGTCAACCTAAGGCGTTGAGACAAAATAATCATAATTTCTGCTTCCATCCTGACTGTCAGGGCCATCCTGAAACCAATAAGCACAGAAAGTATGCAAAATAAAAAATAACGAGATTGGGATACCTCCATCCAAAGGAAGAACTGAAAAATTATATCACGACATCAAAGAAAGTGTCGACACCAATTAAAGAAAGGCCATACTGCGCAAGTAGAGCCCGTACACACAAAAAAATCACAGATCTGTGATGGTCAGTAACAATCATCTGTAACGGTCAGTAGCAATCCTCGGTACCTGTTGTCAGTAGCAATCCTCGGTAACGGTCAATAGCAATCCTCGGTACCTGTCAGTAGCAACCCTCTGTAATGGTCAACAGTAATCTTCTGTATCTGTCAGTAGTAATCCTCTGCAGTGTAGTGGTCAGTAGTGATCCTCTGTAACGGTCAGTACCTATCCTCTGCCCCATCACGATGTACAACAAGAATCCCAACACAAATTCTTGAACTTATTGGACTACATCCAAAATGACACAAGAATCAAATCAAGATCTGGGACACAAACTTCATAGCAGAAACAATTACCTTGTTTCACCAAGTTTTCCAGAATTACAGAAGCATCAGATAAATGGTTCACCCCCGACTGTCATGAATCGGTCATGGTCGTCGACTTCTCCACTTCAGAAGCAGAAATAAGCCAAGGCTGCCTCCACAGAAAAAAGCGGAGTGACCAACTGGCACAAAACCTTATTTTTTATTTTTTAATTGACGGCACAAGTAACACCCACATGGCTATACAAGACTGCTGCAGGCAACAGTTCCACTTAGGACGTCTTTTAAGGAGTCACCTCCCCTAAATATTTCTGTGATAAAACCACCTCCTGGACAATGCCACACAGTGAAGCCCCACCCACCGGACAGACAGCTGGAGGGGGGAGGGGAGGGCAGCCTAGGCGTGACTGGAAAAAGAAATTCCCTGGGAAGTCAAACAAGACAGCAAAATTACTTCAGCTTGAGCTTAATAGAGTTCTTCAGTGGTTGTAAGAACCCTGTGGCATTGATAGGTTGGGGACTTGTCAGGTCTGACAACTCATTGCTTGGGTGGCGATCTAATTGCTGTGAACAAAAAACAAAAAGAAAAGACCATTGTAATGATATACATGGTGGGAGGGGGGGAGGAAATTGGCTGTTTTGCAAGAAAATACAGAAGGAAATTGAATCCGAATATACATATGCTATAAAAATATAAATAAAAAGACTAATTTCAACATCAGCTCAGTCTATAAGTTGAGAATTGGTTTGAAAAAGGCCAAGCTTTGTTAGTATAAACTTACCTTCTTTCATCTAAGGGCCATTTCGAGAAAATATATTCTGTTGATTATTTGAAACTAGCTTCAAGCGGAGCATCAGAGAGTCTGCCTTGCATAATCCCAATGAGTCACCTTTCAAGAGAACCTTAACTACAATGAATCAAGACACGAATACATCTCTACCTTGTTGGCTATAGACTTTGCTGCTTCAGTGGAGAGGGATGGCTGTTGTTGGTGCGATGAAATGTGAGACTGTGATGATGACGTCGATAACGATGAGGAGGAAGAAGAGGAGGAGTTTTTCTCATCAACCTGCATGGGTGAACCAGGGACCTGTAAGAAAAGAAAATAACATCAAGAATTCAGTGACCTAAAGTTCACATCATTCAATGCATGCATTGCAAAATCATGATCTGAAAAGTCTCAGAAAATAAAAAAAGCCATTCTAGCACACTCACATATTTGATTTTTAAAAACTTCACTTTCTGTAAACATAACTGACACTTGGGTGTAATGTGTTAAAACTTGAAAAACTGAAAATCTTCACCTGGTTTTCCAGTTCCTTGGACTTCTTGGGAGGTGTGTCGTTATGGAAAGGGGAGCCCGGCCTCTTGGATGCAGCATCCTGGGCACTGTCCTGTGAACTGGGGCTTCCCTGAGAACAGAGGGCATTGTTTTGTTTCCTTAAAAAGGAGCATGTCCACATGATGTTTACCTGGTTCATGGAACAGGCAAGAAAGGCATGTAGAAACAAGAGAGGAAAAGAAAAGTGAGGCCTACAAGTGGTGTCTCCCCAACAGCTCAGAACAGAGAGGAGAAGCTGAGACGGCTCATACAGCACCAAGGAGGAAATAAATCCTACTACCCAAATCAACTTGTAATACTTCACCCATTAAGCCAACATCACTACGCTCAGGTTGTGAAAGGATCTTAAAACCAGATACAAGTGCTATCACATGCTTTAATAACAACAGCAGGTATCAACTTGTTTATAATAAGTATCAATAATAAATGCCACTAAAAGACACTGTGGTACAGGAAAAACAACTTTTAGGTCCTGAAAGAGTGGAAAAATGAAACCAACTAAACTGTTGAAAAGTAAGGCTGAAACCATAGTGGACCTGGCCGGCTTTTTTTTCGACACCTTTCTTTTTCAGAGCGGGGAGAAGAATCAACCCGTCTGAACTGCTATGTGGCGCCACCAGCGACGGGCATTGTCGGCCATAGTAACAGCCAGCCCGGCACAGCATTTTCTCACCATCATTTCACCTATCGCGCAAACCGTCTGGCTGCCGGGTCGACAGAAAGGAAAGTTGGAAGGGACAGTACTTTGTCCATGACAGTTCATTCCCCTTACAACTGATGAAGATGGACGAAGAAAAACTCTACAGGTGAAATCGCTTTGCAGAAATTCGTTGACTTCTCTCTAAGATCGGGCGCACACAGTTCGAGAAGAGCATCAAAGGACTGTGTCATTCTGAGATACTGCTGAAACTTTTAAGGATGATTGCGCAGTTGGGGCATCACATGGTGGTATTCTCCATACAAAGCTCTCCTTCTGTTAATAGAATGAACTGCAAAATGTCGAGGACTCCCTCTTTTAATTTTCCTCAACCACCAGAGCAGAAACAACAATCTGTTTCGTTTAGTAGTTCTCACCATTTTGACAAAACGGGTGACATAAGCAGCCGTCAAACCGGTAGAAAGCTGGTTTACTATGGTCGTTTTGACGGATCCGTTTCACCAACAAAAGAACGGCGTCGAAAAAATGAAACGGGTCGGGTCTACTATGGTTTCAGCCTAAACAGTCTTCAAAACCAGAAACATGCCACACAGGTGGGGCAATAGGACCAGTGGACCCATAATTTAAAAGTTTTTAAAAAACCCAACGAAATCACATACAGAAAAGGTTTCATAAACCACTTTTAAGAAACATAGTAAAGGGGGGGAACATTCTTTAGCTGTGTCACTTAAAAAACACGTAGGAAGCCTAACATTTTTTAAACTGAAATTTTAACATATTTGAAAAAAATAACCTTTCTTCAATATCTTTAACTTAATTTCAGTGCCATTGAGGTATTCTGTAAAAACCTAATACCCTCCAAAGGGCACACTGGTTCAAAAGATAGTTTTTAAAAAGTTTTTTAAAAGAGTATTTAAAGAACATTTTTTCAAATTAAGATTAAGACAATGTCTTTTTTTCAATATTTCATAAAATCTTGTTTAAGATAGAAAAGAAGTTCTATGCCCCTTTAACTCTCAGCAGTTCACCGAAAGGAAAATCGTACGAATTCGTACGATGAGCATCGGGTGTAGATCTAACAGCAGAAATCCATTCCTTTTTACATTTTAATGCTTCTAATACCTTTTTTATCATAAATAAAGGTTGAATCTATATATTTTTTATAAAAATAATCATAATTTATAAAATATTGTAAAAAATTGGTGCACGGAAAATCAGCGTTTGTTTACGTTCTCTCCGCCGCCATTTTGGATTTTGGGAGAAGGCCAGCTGTGAAGGTTCCACACAAAAAATAGGAAAAAAGCATAAAAATGTCGTCAGATGAGTCTGATATTGATCTGAATGACTCACTGGATGAAGAGTCTGATACCTGGGTACCAGAATCTGACGATGAGGATCCTGAAGACGGAAATCAAGCCCCAATTTTGACCAATCGTGATCAAAACAACAGGTTAGTGTTTTGTTTACGTCCTGCCTATACACAAGAAAGCCTATAAAATGTATTGTAGTGGGTTTAGGCCACTGGTATTGTTACCTCAAGCTTACAGAATAGTTATTTGTGGTAGCCTGAAGTTGTGAAAGCATGGTTTGGCTCTAAAAAAATTTTAATTAACCCTTTTATGTGCCTAGCTACGGTTGTCATGTTATTGTTTACACACAGCAGTTCCTCAAACAGGAAGTTTGTTTTTGTTTACACCTCACCCGTCTACAGAAGCCTTATTCCCTGCTAAGATTTTGTTATTGTGATAATATGATGATAATGACAGAACAGCTTTGTTCAAGGTCTGCTTCTGTCTAGATCTAGATCTAGAAATAAGTGCCTCTATGACATAGGCCTCATCAACATGTCAACTTCGACTCCGCCGATAGCGTCCTAATCCTTTGCTTATTTTCTTCCCTCAGGAACCAGCCGCAACCTCCACGTAACCAGTCTTACGCGGACCAGGATGATGGCCCACCAGAACCACTGCCTCAGTTTAGGCCTGAACGCGCTGTTGGCCTGCATCTCCCTGACTGTATCACCCGACAGGACATCCGAAGTTTTCTGACACCAGGTGAGAGCATTATTGCACGGAGTACGAGAAATTTTTATTTTTGTAATTGCTTTCTGTTTGCCCTTACTTTACTCCGACAGGCAGGTGAGTTCACTGATTCACACGTTACACATAACACCTTTGTTATTCATTTGTAGAAAACACTCTTGATGCCATTATGTAGTTAGAACTGATATTGCCTTGTGGGCCAGGATTGTTTATCTCTTTTTCTGACAGATCGATTGATGTCAGTGTTCCCAGCAGACTATCCTTTCCAAATGATCATGACTTATGTGTCTTCTTCTTGTCTTCTTATTTCCTCAGTATCCTTCTTCAAACTGTTCTTCTGCACTGAGATGGTGAAACAGATCTGCCAGTTCTCTAATGAGTACGCCCAGATGACAGGACCCAACAAACCATCTGTGTTTCGCTCCTGGGAGGATCTTGACTCTGAGATGTTCCTCAAGTTCGTTGGACTGCTAATGTATATGTCTATTGTTCGTCTACCAAATTTAGAGCTGTACTGGTCAACAAAAACCTGTTTTCATGGACTATGGGCCAGGGCATACATGAGCAAACTAAAATTCAAACAAATTCAGTCTTTTTTGAAATTATGCAATCCAGACACTGAGCGAGATACTGATAAGCTACGGAAAGTTAGGTTTGTTCACAATTTTTTGAGTATGAAGTGTATGAAGTATTGGCAACCTAACTAGTGTGTAAGCATAGATGAGAGGATGGTTCAAAATAAGGGGAGATACAGTTTCAGGCAATACATAAAGGATAAGCCAACTAAATGGGGGATGAAGTTATGGGTGGTTGCAGATTCGATGAATGGGTACACATACAATTATGAAGTTTACACAGGGAAGGATGGGGGCACTCGCTCAGAGTTTGGATTGGCCTATGATGTAGTTATGAAGGTATGTAAAAGTCTTTTTAATCAGGGTTATAAGATCTTCATGGATAATTTTTATTCTTCCTTTCAGTTGTTTTCTTCTTTGTGGGAAAAAAAGACAATGGCTTGCGGAACTATTCAAGTAAATCGTAGCTTTCCCGATGACTTGAAAGATGTTAAAACATTTAATAAGCAAACAGAGAGGGGAGGGATGAGGTGGTTTAGGAGGGGCTGCATTGGCATAGTTCAGTGGAAAGATAATAAAATAGTAAACCTCATCACAACAATGCATAAGAGTTTAACTGATAGAATTTTCTGTAGACGTCGTTCTAAAACCAATGGTACTTTTCGTGAGATACATGTAAGTCAGCCTAAAGTGGTGAAAGAGTATAATGAATTTATGGGGGGTGTGGATCATTCAGATCAAATGATAGGTAAATATAAAGTTCTCAGAAAAACTTCAAAGTACTGGAAGACCCTTTTTTATCACTTTATTGACATTGCTAGAGTGAATGCCTTTGTTTTGTTTCAAGAGTTTCGACGCACGCATGAAAATGAAATTCCAGAACTGAAGAGGCCGAAAAAGTATGGACAGTTAGATTTTACAATAGAATTAATGAAAGAATTGGGAGGTATTAGAGATGACATGGAAGTTCCATTGTACACAAAGAAAAAAGAAGAAATTGAAGAGCATCACGTTGTTCCAGACTTTACAGAAATTCGTAGAAATTGTGTTAGATGCTACAGATTACTAAAAAAGGAATTCAAAACTCAAGTCAGGTGTGTTACATGTGATAAATATTTTTGTTTCAATAAAAATAGAAACTGTTTGCTTGCAGAGCATACTGTAGAATAGTCTTTTGTCACTTGCTACAATTATTGGACAGTTGAGTAGAAAAATGTTTTTGTTTTAGTAGACGTTTTACAGCGCTCGCAACTGCATAAGGTCATATATGAGCGCCAAGGGGTGGATGTCAACAGAGACTTCCTTACAGGGAATCAGACTTACTCTGCTCTCCTCTCTAGCTTCAACAGCACAAAGTCTGCTTCGACTATCAAGGCACCCCGGAAATAGTGGGTCGCAAGAGTGTGACAAACTTACAAAAGAGGTAGAGGAAAATGACGATAGTAAGGATTAGGAAAGAAAAAGCAGCAGTTCCCTGTTGTAGTTCAGGCACAGTTATGAGCATGACATTGTTGGATCAGCCCATTTACAATTCTATTGTGCCTTAGGATGAGAAATGTCCCCCCTTTGGGAATGCCTAAAGACACTTCAGTCAGTGGCACCGCCCCATGGAGGGGGAGTAGAATGTTTTTCTGTCATGGACCACAATGATGTAATGTACCGTACTACAATATTTTTGTCTATTTTTCCATGAAAATCTCTGTTGGTATTGGTATTTTGTATGAATACAGTGTGTTCTTGTCATTTTGAAATATTTGGTGTTGCCCTGTCTGTTTTGAGTGCAATTTTTGTTGATGGAAATTGACTGGAAAGCCATTGATGTTTATTTTTTCTATGTCGCGTCGTCATTTCTTCGCGAAACATGATAAATGTATCTTTTGTCAAAAACCTTGTAACTTTTTATCCTTTTTTCAATATGCATGAAATTTGGACACACATTGCAAAATTGGAAGTGCTTTTACTCCATAATAAACTTTTTTGGGTATCTTAGAACACTTTTTTTCTTCTTTCTTTGTGACTGTTTCATGTTGGGAAATTTTATCTTTTTTTCCCCTGTCCCTCCCTCAAATAACAGAGCACTATATAGACAACAGTGGTCATATCATGATGAAAGTACCTTCATTTGATAGGAAATTCAATTTCCTTTCCAATGGTATGTAATTTGACATACTTTCTGTGGTATTTTATATTCCATGGTAAATCAAACTAACCATGGGTGGCGTGAAGGCGAAAATGGTCAAAATACCAAGAACTGCTGAGAGTTAAAACTTTTTTTTATATTAAAGCCCCACATAAAACTAAATAGAGGGACAAGGGTTATCCAAAAGTATAAAACCCACCCCAGCATTGTCTGACTTGTCCTCCAACTCCAAGTCCTCCTTGCTCCCGTGTACAGAGGCCGTACCAACACCACTAGACCCCTCCGAGGCATTCCACTGCATGCTCTCAGAGTCCAGTGGCCCGTTGGTTGAGTGGTTGGTCTGTGACTCATAGCCCGCAGACTCCTGGGACGTCTCGTCTTCTTCTGCCGACACGATGGCCTTGCCCAACTCAGTGTCCAGGTCCGACTTCACTCCTGGCATTGAGACACTCGCCCCTTTGTCCATGCTCGATCGCCGAGCATTGCCCCCTGAGTGTTTGCCACTGTCCTGAGAAAAGAAGTCGTCATAGACTTGACAAAAAAACCCAAGACACAACCACATCAATAACCAATCTGGAGAAACCTGGACAATTTGCCAAAGCCAGTACACTCTGCCAAAACAATTAGTTATTTCCAGGGAATGCAGATGGACAAAATTGAAATTGGGTCCCTTGCAACATTCAGTAAGATATTTTTAGAGGTAACTTTACATACCAAGCGGAAAAATGCAGGTCACAGTATGGGGTTTATTTAATGTCTCAGTGAGAAGAGGGAGTGCAGTATTTGCAATACATTTTGTACGTTTAAATGTTGGGAAGCAACTTAGACTTTATTCTTGACCCAGGGAGAAAGGAATGTTTTTGTGTAAATTCTGCATCTCCATCCAAACATCTATATTTACTACTTCAAATCATTGAAAATGTTTGTTAACGAAACGTAATAAAAAACACAGAACATAACCACATAGCAACAAAACGCACTCGTACAAAAATACATAACATACACACACAAGAAAAGAAATTTTGTTTAACAACTTCTGCATTATTATTAGACAACAAACTCAACTGGCGTGTCCACACTTCTCTCCTGCATAAAAAAATGAACAAAAGACTATTTTTTCTTAGAAAGCTAAAGTATTTTAAAGTTGATAAAACATTGATGTCCATGTTCTACCATTCAACCCTAGAAAGTATTATCAATTTTTGTATAACAGCATGGGCCGGGAACACAAGACAACAAGATAAAGAAAAATTAAATCGACTAATACAGAAAGCATGTACAATTTCAACATCTTCATTCCCCTACTTGGATGAATTGTACATAACAGCTTGCACTAAGAAAATTAATTCCATCTTTTTAGACAACAAACATCCCTTGTTCCTTCAAATAAAAACATCAGTCAGAAGTAAAAGACCCATGCTTCTGATCTGTAACAAAGAAAGATACAGAAGGTCATTTTTAGCATAATCTATCAAAATGCTTCCATCTTAACCACCTATCTTGTTTAGTGTACTTATGACCTTAGAGCATGCATCAAAATAACATTGAGTGTGTATCTAGCTTACGATTATTATTGTTTATATTGCTGCTCATTTATATTATGTATGTGATTGTAAGCCTACTTGTGTGTGCATGTGCAGGCACGTGTGTACGTGTGCGTGTGTGTTTGTGCGTGTGCGTGTGTGTACTCGTGGTGGAACACCAAACCAATGTGCCAGGATCTGGACAATAAAGATGTATCTTATCTTATTATATTACAGTAGTCTCCACCTAAACGAACAATGTTCAGGAAGGCCCCTATGCGTATGTTTACATGAACCTGTGCAAAGGGAGGGAGGGACGCAGTCATCTCAATTCCTTGATATTCTAGTGACCTACCTTGGGGTGGGGGTCACTTTGGCCAATAATGTGACAACACGTGACTAATTTGTGAAGGATCCCCCGACTGCGGTTTAGAATACAAAGGCGTAGAATGGGCGGGGTGAAGCCAGAAAGACACACTCAATGTAATGGAAAATGTTGGTGGTAGTCATAGAGATAATGGCCCAGCCACGTGGCTTCTCAAACGACCAGTCCCGACCCTAAATTCATGGAAGACATCAGAATCATAGATCTCTACATTCAGAGAAACAATTCTCTTGTGATTCGTTGAACAAGTACTTTATAAGTTCTTCTAGCACAGCGGATTAGGCTTACTTGACTAATCTTTAATTCCATTGTCCTATAGAGGCCTATCTAGTGTTTTACAGTATTCAAACATCATACGCCTAGATCTAACTAAACATACGCAGTCACCCAAACACCAGTCAGAAACCTTCATTAAACAGGCATTTCCAGTGGCCAATCAAAAAACACATGAGTCCCCCACCCCTCCAATATTTCGCGAATATGTGTTGGTGGAAAGTTGGATGTGAAAACGCCCTATCTGTTCGGCGTGAGGGGCAGTCTCACCAAATATCCGGTGTTCTAGGTTTGTCTTATGCAAGCTATGCAGGTTGTAGTGAAAATTCCTTTTGTCAAGATTTACCTGTCGGCGTGTTTCATGGAACAGAGCGTGCGTTAAGAGGGAGTGACCGTCCGTTTGTACGTCTAAATTGTATAGAGTAAAACACTTGTCATGACGAAAGTGTGCATTTGAGCGGAGCATACTTGTACTTGCAGGGGCATAACAAAATATTTAAATCCAGAGAAATGGAATTATTATAAGATCTTAGTTCTTCTTTAGTCCTTTATCTACTCTAGAAAATACTGGTAAATAAAAACCAAAAGCACACCCTAAAATAAAGACACCCTACGTTGCCGTGTGCACCCAAACAATACAATATGTTGACAGTCCAAACAGGGGCACAAACACACAATTGCTACCAAAGGCAAAGGTGAGCAATACTTCCACAACATAAGAAACCTGGCAGCCTACAAAGTAAGTCTGGATTGGCTGCCCTCGATACTTGTACAAAAGTGGAAAAGGAAACTTAACAAAGACATGGAAGGCTAACCTATTTCACCCTATATTGACCAATTAAATCTCTTTTTCAACTCATGTGTGTGTGCGTAAGAGTAGTTAAGGGTAGATACCGAGAAATTTGTTATAACTTACCCTTTTTCTTAACCGCCCTTGATTCAAAATTTGAGGCGTGACAAACTGTTGCAGATGCTTCCTGAAAAAAAAAAGGGAACAAGTAAAGGGATATTTTTTCTTCTCCGAATAAAAATTACTTAAAATTTGTTCCCAGGAATGCCCACAATATTGCTTATTACTCTTATAGACCACAAATTATGTTGATAACACAGCACCAATAAAACTAAAATAGCATTACAACAGGGACATGAAATAATGACTATCCACTCTCTGTGACTTACTTTCCAATTTACTGACATTGGAATGCAACACATAGTATAGGGGTCAGTTCGTTTTACACAAGAAAACAGGAACAGAAGTTTTTTGAGAGTTTTTTTTTAAGTGTTGAATTAAACGTACAGATACTCATTTCAATTTGCGACAAGACACGGTTTTCTCAACTATCTGTCAACGCATATGTAGCAGTCAGTTCTGTACACCAGGACGCTGATAATCAACAAAACTCATTTTCCCAATGACAATGATCTTCAGCTTTATATAACTTGACGTCACAGATAATCACATTGGTAAATACCAAGGGCACATTTCAAAGCCAATTAGCCAGGCAATTCAATAAAAGCAAATATTATACCTCACTCACATGAACCTGCTGAAAAAAGTCTATAGGAAAGACGTGATTATGTTCCTAGTAATAAGGGAAACTGAACGCACTTACTTTTTAACATACTGAATCTCCACTTTCATACCCTCTTTGTACAGGTTTATGTGCATGGCTTGTTTGTGAACTGCAACACATCAAAATACAAAATGTTAAAAATGTACATCACACTATCATTAACTACCAAGCCAAATCTAATAACTTTCCGATAAAATACCAATGCTCGTTCATAATTTGAAGAAAAGATTTTTTTTAAAAGGAAGAACGCAAAAAAACAACTTATATCAACGTGAGCTGCTCATCTGACATTGCCCCTTTCCACGTTCATCTACTCTTTCAACCTGAACATAAGACACTCAGGATAAAAGAATTTCACAGATGTGTGTCTATAGAAACCTACTAAAAACTTATTGGTCACATTTAGAAACAATTATCACCGAGAATCTCATTCTCATGAAAATTCTTCTCAACATCACTACTGATAGAAAGTTTTCCCAACTTCACCACTTGCCATAACATCGGTTAGTCAGGCCACACCAAATATCGGTTAGTCAGGCCACACCAAACAGTGCAACTGCATGTGACCTCATGTCAGAATGGTTAATATGAAAGAGAAACTGTCATAAAAAATTGTAGTCCTCAGTTTAAATTACATTCTGAACATAATGCTACACATGCAGACAATAAATGGCAAGTAAAATTCAATGTAAGATTCAACACATACCAATGTCTGAAAAGGACTGTATGTCATAAGTGAGATCAACGTTGGCCCCCGGTTGAGAACTTTGGGTCACCAGACCAAATGACAAACCAATGAACCACTTGCACATGTACTGGCCTTCACTGAAAACGAAACAAAAAACCTGCAGGTATTACGAGATACTTTCGACGAGTAGAAAACAGCAACCACGATCTAGAACAAACCTAAGTATCCTAAACCAAAAAGAAATGTCTACATGAAAATTTTAAATCTCAAGAAAACTTTTCTCCAATCAGTTTAACTCGAAAAACTATTAACATGCACCACCAAAGAATGAAAACACAACCAAAGACTGAAATCTTCTAGGAAATAAGTCCCTATAAGACTATTGCTGTTACATCCACATAACTGCAGTAAAAAAAAAAAAATTTAAGATACATTAAAATCACTTGAACATAAAGAATGCCACGAAAAACTAAAATAATTTTCAAAATTCTAATTCAATAAAGTAAGTCAGAATTGGTCATAGAGGAAAATCTTCAATTTCAAAGAATTCTAGAAAAGTGGAAAGCAAATCTTTAAACATGCTTTGATTCGCCACCATGTTCCTATAATTACCTCTCGCTGATCGGGCCATAGGAGTACGGCATGATGTGAGCCAGCTTCATGCTGGGATTACGCTCCAGGTTGCCCACCAGCAGACGGATCTTGGACTCCACATACCCCTTCCTAAAAGAAGTCAGAAAGAGAGAGATTGATTATAATTTTAACAATAGCTGTTTAAAATCATGAACATAATTTACAATATTTAGCAGAGGGGCTGCTCCAACCCTGTCTGTCGCAACTGAGAGTGAAGGAGGGAGAGAATAAGGGAGGGAAGGAGAGAGAGATGGAGAGAAAAAGAGGAGATACGATGAGAAAAAACTCAGGTATTCTTGAGATAAGATACAAAGATAAGAAAAGTATGACCTTCCAGCAGCATCTTGAATTCACACCCACACTAACAGTAACATTTGAAGTTAAAAACTCAGCAACATAAATAACATAGACACAGATGTAGAAAGTATGTGAAATGAAATTTGACCCTGACAATTAACAATTAGTAAAAACAGAAAATTCAAGATTTAAAAAGAAAGTACAAAACCATAGTTTACAGTTGCAGATTTCCATTGCCTTTTTACTCCTTTACAAGACTCCTCTCAACAAGTCTAAGGAGTTGTGAGAGGTGTCTCTTTATCCCAATCACAACACATTTTTTCTAGCAAAAAACCACCCCCCAAAAAACGAAAGCAGGAAATCTAAAATTTAGGTTTTTAAAAATTATAGCTTACCATTCCAAATAATGCGGCTCCTCTTCTGCACTCGCTTTCACAACGATGTAATGTCTGTGGGTGGAAGTGCAAATAGTATTGAAAGCACTGCAAACAAAGCAAAAGGCAAAAGGAACAAAAGGCAAGCAACTTTAGAACAAGCACAAATTCGTTTTCTTAATTAACTGAACACCGATGCACTCTATACTATTAGGGCTTACTCCCAGTACAATTGAGCATCTCCGACTCCCATTACAGAACAACAAAACAACAGGAAAACAACTCTCAGCAAACAAACTACTGGAATGCTAATAATTACTTTAATAATATGCTATGCCATTAAAAACAAAAAACAAATACATGATACTTAATATTAAACAGTTCTGACAAGAAAGTTGTTGATACCTGTACTTGTGGAAAAAGTCAGACGGCTCAAACAACCGACTCCATTCCTCTCTTCCTTCATAAATATGTGTGACAACATTCAAACCTGTGAAAGAAACAGCTGTTGTGTGACTAAAAAAAATGTCAGTTTTAGAAGAAACATAAAAATAAACCAGCTAAACACTCAACAACTTCAACTTCAAATCCAACACTTCGCAAACAAGCAACCTAAACAATGTCAAACTTTCAGCTTACTAAAATAAATAGAGGAAGGTACATAATGTACTTATTTCAATTAACTAAAGATACCAACATAACAAAAGAGAACAGACAACAGTTTTATATCACAGGCAAAGAACTATAATCCTTGACACCTATAATATCCCAGAGTGGAAAACAAAAATCATATAGCTTAAGTGTCTCTCGAGTTTGAATTTGAGTAAAGAGAAGCATGTTGACACAATAATGGTCACAAAGTGCAGGATAGAAGCAAGACAAATGGAAAAAGCAGGTGAAAAAAAAAGAAACAGAACCAATTAGTGGCGCCCCCCAACAACCCGCTCTTTACACATACAACCTAGAGTAAAAGAGAAAGATAATGAGAGCATATAAGCCATTTAGTGCAGTTTAGTTTTAGTAGAGGTTTTACGGCGCTCGCAACTGCATAAGGTCATATGAGCGCCAAGGGGTGAATGTCAACAAAAAAGTCCTTACAGGGAATCGAGCTTACTCTGCCCACCTCTCTAGTTTCCACAGCACAAAGTCTGCTTCGACTGTCAAGGCACCCCGGAAAGAGCGGGTCACAAGAGTGTGACAAACATACAAAAGAAGTAGAGGAAAATGACGGTAGTAAGGATTAGGACAGAAAAAGGAGCAGTTCCCTGTTGCAGTTCAGGCACAGATATGAGCATGACATTTTTGGGGGGAGTGAGAAGAAAAAACAAACACAAATTTTAAAAACAGACAGGCAACACAGGGAAAGAAAAGAGGTGGGACTGTGTACCTTATTGCAGCCATTCAACCAGATGTGTTTACTTTTTCTTACCTTCATGAAATTCATCCATAATGATGGTACGGGTGGACTGTGTGACATTATATGTGGAATTTTGCTGTGGGTATGCTGGTGTTATGATAGGCATCAAGTGAAAACGATCAGCTGCATTTATCTGAAAGTGAAAAGCAACACAATCCACATTAAGGTGATGTACAACATGGTATGGGCACAATGCTGCTTCCAACATAATGCAGGCTTCTTTACCAGAACATATAGTGTAATGGTTAAGCTCTTTGCTGTTGCATGCAAAAGATGTGAGTTTGGAAGTTATCTCGGTCTGTCTGCTCAGATCAAGGACTGGGTCTCATTTAAATATTGAGAAATGCTTAAGCGTCTCAAACAGCTTCTCCCAATCCAGCCAACCGTACCTGCCCATGGTGGTCCCTGTCCTCACTGACACGGCTCTGGCGAATTGTTGGCGCCAACAAACCACCCCCCCCCCCCCCCCCGTTTCCTAGAGGGGTTAAAACAACAGGATGGGAGCAGGTGTGGCCCCACAAGGTGCAGGAGGCAGAACCCACCGATGCGTGGTAGATACTATGCTCCTCACTAACACACCCCTACTCTCCCTTGAGTGGGTATCTAATCTGCCTAACACCTCTACTGCTTTTATCAACACACCCTCGGTGGCTGAGAAGGTACCAGCCAGTTTGAGAGTGTCTGGGTGCAGGGGATGGACCGAGCGGAATGCCTGACTTGCTTTCTGGCCGTGAAACCTCTTAGTAAAGGCACAACGACCCAGGATGTGACGATCCAATGGCTTTCCCACTTGGACGATACCTCATGAAAGAGTCGAAAACTTTAGCCAGTAGCCATTGGTGGCGGGGAATGGGCAACGTGAACCCTACTGGAATTACATGGTCACAGGGCAGTCAGGTCTTTCCAGTCTCATGAAAACTCCTTGTACCCCCCTATCCTCAACATGAATGGCCTTCTCAGGGTGGGCAGGCAGTCCACAGACACCCCAGTCCACAATGCTCAGATGCCAGATCCCACTCAACCAGGTTGGCCCTAACAGAATTAAACACTGTTGACGGGGGTTGCAAAACATTTACAATCAAAAAGAGATTCATATGAAAGGCCAGAATCTCTGCTTATAAAACCAATCTCTTTGTTTAAGTAAAAGTTTTACGGCGCTCGCAACAGCATACGGTAACATGAGCGTAAACCAAACCAATCTCTGATAAGACTTAGTCAAACAGATGAGGAAGAGTAATGGGAAATCCCTCTGGGTCATCTGCAGACTGGCAACAAATGAATCCAACTGAAATAATAACATGCTCTTGACTGCCTTCTGTATAACAGCTATTATTGCAAAATCATACTGAATGAAAAAGAAAGCTCTTTTCATAAACTGAAACAAAAGAAAACAAGGAAATTTTTATATGCCATGACTTCATTCCCCTGCGACCAATACTTACCCTTGTAACAAGGCAACATGTCTGGTTGAACCCATGTAAAAATCTTTGATTTGAATAAATAAAAACATACACTATCACTGACACAGCCATCTGAAGTTTTCATGCCAATACTGTACAATAGACAACGAGACCTCAGAAAATGACCCCCCTCACCCCATATACGTTATCTTTAAAAAATATTTAATGTCCAGTTTACAAGGAAAATCCTTGAACTTACTCTTGAATCCCAAACTGGGAAGCCCAATCTGTTTTCCGTATCAAGTTGCTTCAATAACACAGGAGATGGCCAGTCCCTGGGAAGGATATGAAAACAATTTCAATTGAATAATCTGCAAAGGATATAACACAAACAAATCCACACATATATCACAAGACGCTTGTTTTAGTAAGTGTTTTACGGCACTTGCAACACAATAAGGTCATATAAGTGCAGAAGATTAGAGTTGTTACAAGAGAAAAAAAGGAGGAGCAATATGGACGACAGATGTTTGATAGGAAAGAAGCAAACTACACCAGAGCATCCGCCAACCACCCACACAAGGAGCTTGAAACAGAAAACGCCAACAATAACGTTGTTCCTACTTTCAACAAGGGAAAAGGAGGAAACCTCACATGTCAAAATCATCTTGGCAGTACAGGACGTATAATCCTCCACAACTAATAGTTTATAAGATGAAACTTTTTACAACATTTGTTCATTTGACACCCACAAAACAGGAAAGCATCCATCAACACGTATGAAGGAAACAACAAAAATAATCATTAGGACAGGAAGATAACCTACACATAAGTCTATTGAGTGCAAAAATCGATTAACATCGTGCACACAGGCAAGTGTACCCGTCAGCCCCGTCTTATCACAAACGATGATACATAATGTACAGCAAAGGGCATTACATTTACAAACATGCAGGTACTCAACACCGATACACATACCTTCAATAAACTGAGCAAACACAAACCCTTGAGAAAAAGGCTCAAAGCTGGACAACACTCACCATTTTGAGAAGACCAGAAAAAATCTGTGCACAATAGTGGCTGGAGCGGCCTTGGGGTACAGCTGACAAACCCGGGCCACCAACATGGCCCATGACACTCCACCCAGGTAACCCAAGGCATTGGAATAGATACCCTTCTCTGTGAGAAGAACAAGAAGAAAAAAGATTCTAGCCCATTGCTCTTTCTCAATTCAAAATTAATTGACCATTAAAAGGAGCATTAATATATTTTTTTAAATGAATTAATCCATCTACATAGACACACCAGTTACCCCCCCCCCCTCCCCATAAAATGAATCAATTAACCCACATCTGTAAACAGTTACATAAGTTATTTCCATCTGTACATCAACTTGTGTAAACCTCCATCTACACATGATAACCTTCAACTACACATGGTACAACAACTATACTCCACTTTCACATAAATAATTAAACTAACCTTTATCTACATATAGATACTTTTTAAAAAATCACATTCACACACATACGCCCCCCCCCCCCCCCCTCCTAAAAAAAAAACCCCAAAGAAAGCACACCCTCACAAGGCACAGGTACTCACTTTTAGCCCACAATTTAATCGCTCGAAGAGTCATGCGAAAGTTTTCTTGGTTTGGCACCAAATGAAGAATCTCATCAGTGACCCGTATACCTGAAGAAGAAACCACGTAAAAAGCTGTAACCAATCTGAATAGAGTTGCACAAAAACTTGTAAGGCATTATGAACCTGGCTTTAAAACTTAAATAAAAATACAATAGAAAATTTACAGAAAGCAAATCAACTCTGAAAAAAAAGAGTACCAGGCTGTAAACTTGTTATAACCATAGACACTCTCAACGATCTTTAACAAATTTTGTGCCCTTCATACACTTACAAATACTGTACACCCCCCCTCCCCCCATACAGGAGCACTATTAGCTCAGTAGTTATAATGGTGGACAAGGAACTGGTTGGGATCCGGGAACATTTTTGACTTGATTGGTACAGTGGAAACCATATATAACAGGCCAAATAATAACAGGGATTTTTTAAATCCCCCTTTTTTCCTACTCTTTTTCTCTATTTAAAGTTATCTGCAATAACAGGGCCTAATCGGACCCCAATCGGTTATAGCAGGGACGAAGGCTCGTTAACAAAGTGGAGAGAGAGAGAGAGAGAGAGAGAGAGAGAGAGAGATATGCAGAGATGGAGCAAGCCCACGTCACAGCAAGCACGCACAGCGGGTGAAGCGAGAGAAGGCAGCGGTGTGTTGCAGGCTTCGATCTAGCCCTAAGCCTAGTTACACGCACGCTTAATAATGTGTCCTGTGGGGGGGGGGGGGGGTGCGCGTGTACTTGTGGCAAGGGAAACTACCCATTAATAAAAAATACAACTGGATTAGTCCACCAATGCTTACTCCCCTTGCATTTCTGATTTCACAATTATCTGATATAACAGGACTTTTTCTCTGGTCCCACCATCCCTGCTAAAACAGGTTTCCATTGTACAGAGTTTTCAAAGCCATCCATCCATATTGCTTAGTCCTACTGAAGATCAAAATCAGGATTCCCACTTTGCTCAAAGGAGTATTCCTTTAATCAACGGCTTTCCACAATACACACAAATCTGACCCAGAAGCAGGGTGATCACACCCACGACAACCCATGAGCTAGCCAGAGTAAGCAGGAAAACTCTAAAAATAAAACTGGCGTGACAATTACCGTTGAGACTCCTCACACTTTTCTCGTCTAGGTTTTTCAACAGTGTCTCATCTCCAAGATTGATGTCTTCCTGAATTGTGGGCAGTGCAAGTCGTGCAAACAACATATCCAGCTGGAGAGACACAAACATAATTATGACACACTTTTATTCATCATTTAAATGGACACCCCCCTTCCCCCTCTTTCCTTCTCAACACTTACTTAAAAACAGTTAACTTTATACTAAAAAGCTAAAACTATAATTTTTTTTAAAGATTGTGAATTCATACATATAGGAAAGCCAAAAGACCCAAATTAAGGAGAGACACTACAATAACAAAACTTTTTTTATTTACAGCTGAAATACAATTTTGAGAGATTTCCTGGTGATAAAACAGGCTAATTTAAACAATATCAAAGAATTAACATTTTTCCTGATCATAAGGAGCCACAAGCTCACTCATTGAGACTATCCTGACACCAAAACAGCCCATTAGACCTGCATGTGACCCTCAACCAGATTGTTTGAAAATTTTGCACCCCCCCCCCCCCCCCACAAGAGCTTTTGTGGATGTCATAAGGAAGAACTTCCGAGTAACGAGCGACCACCCCTAACCATACCCCCAAAAAGAACCTGCAACGGGCCTCAGGTAAAAAGGCCAGCACAAGTCCAAAATTTAAAAATTTTTAAATTAAAAAAAACACACTCCAAAACAAACAAGGAGCATCATAATATGGCCTACATCTACATTGCTATAATAGGGCTTGATACAATAACACAATAGTTGGAATATGAATCCTCCATATAGATCTAGTAATCTAAATAAATCTAGATCTAGATCTTGTAGAACAAGTGAATAAGAATAGGCCTTGAACTAGAAATCCGCATCCAATTGCGAACAGAGGGACTCAGCTGAGTCTAGATTCGAAATAAATAAATAATTCACGCACCTGATGAAATGCTTTTTACCAACATTAATATTACACCACAACCTATGATAGGGTTTGACACAATAGAATTGGAATATGAATTCTCCATTCAGGTCTATAATGATCTATAAATCTAGATCTAGTAGAACGAGTGAGTCAGACTTGAATGAACCCACACGATCTGAACAATTGAATAAGTCAACAAACGAAATTCAAAATGGCCACTCGAGCACGAAACTGAAAGTAGATAATTTAGGTCGTCGTCCTTTTTCGTATTCGCAGTTCTACTCCGGTTCCGACAATTATGTCGGAAACGCCGACGTCGCCCAGGCCCCGCATTACGCACATTGACCGATACAGGTGGGCCTAGCGATAGCATCGGCCGGCTCACGGGTCGTGTCGCGATTGTCAAATTTCAGACGATTGTCGGCAAACATGCAGGTCTAAGCCCATCTTCTGAGAGACAGCTGAGCAGGTCACAAAGTAAGCATCAACCGAACACTTTGAGACAACAATATACAACACATACCTCAATACCATCAAACTCCACTTTGATAACAGGTACAAAAGCTTCCTCAACTGCCTGTTGAAGAGAAAACACGTACAAAAAAATGAGCTTTGAATCTTTTTGTAGACAATCCCCAAATCTTGTTCAGTTTCAATTTTACAAAGACACAATAATGACTATACTAGGCTAATGAAAGTTGTGTAGGCACAGTATGTCACAACTAGAATAGCTTAGAAAAAAATTCCTTTTAGTCTGTCAGTAAAAGCCCAAAGCCAGCGTGATGAAATACAAATGCATTGAGGAGAATAACAACCCCAAAACTCTATTTAGTTTAAAGGAAATGATAACAGAAACATCAAACACAGAGCAAGGCTCCAAATTAGCAATACCCTTAAAATTCTCATCTATTCAGCGCTACATGTTTCTTACGCACACGGCATGTACTTACCCGTAAATCCCTCACTTCTGGCTGCTGTTTAAGTAACTCAAAGAAGGATTTGAAGAAGTCTGATCTCTCCACATGGCGAGGGGCTACACACAGGGTATCAATATCAGCACCTGGTATTTTGAACAGAAACACTCTTTGCATAAATAACATACATCTGCCATCATCAACATGACTACTTTTCTACAAAAAGCTGAGCTAAGTTTACAACCAATCAATGGCTACCACTTTGATAACTCCACACTTTGACATCATCATTGAACATAGAAACATTCTATGTCTCCATTGAGAGAATCTAGATTATTTATGGAACCAGTTGCTTTGACCAGGGCTGAGAAAGATACAACACCCCGGCAGACCAAAATGCTCAATTTAAGAATGGTACTCATGCTTTCTGCATATAATGGTGAACAGCCCAACCTTATATTACACCATAGATGTCAGTGTTCTTTCAGCACAATAAGTTGCAACAATAAAACAAAATCAAAAAAGCAAAGTGAAAATAGATTACATAAAGAAGAGAAAATAACTAACATTATACCGGCGGTAGTAGACACATGGGTAAGTAAAAACAAAGCGAAAAAGGAAATCGAGCGAAGTTGAGCAATAATCTTGTCATTTTGAAGAGCTAAGATCAAAATATTTGGAAGGTTCACTGTGATAGTAATAATAATAATATATAACATTTATATAGCGCATTTCCAAAAAAAAAGTAGCTCAATGCGCTTTACACTGGAATACCCATTTTCAAAACCTTTCTTACTACTTTCTTTCCTCTCAAGCAATATATATTTATGCACAGACACACACAGAGATTATTTTCATTCACGCGTAGGCACAGAACAACTATAATAAAAATAACGCTAGAAGCTTAGAATAGCAATTCACAGGAACGCCTGAAGTAAATCAAACAAGGCCACAAGCAAAACTAGTGTACACTTACAGAGAGAGCATTTTTGACTTTTGCTGTTGCTCCTTCTTTCAGCCTTCCATTCACAAAGCAAAACATAACAAAAGCATAAACAAGGACAACAAGCACACACCCAAGAAAAGTGGTAGAGTTTTCCCCCTGAAGAGAGTTCTCCGATATCTCTGGCCTACCTTTAGTGTGCACACCCATGCGGTAGGATCCAAAGGTGAACACTTTGCCACCATATGTGTCAATATGCGTGTCTCTAATATTGTTCTGCAGGAGACATGATGCAAAATAACTTGTTACTTTGAAAGGAAAAATTCACAATATACAGAGCATATATACAGAGTAAATACACCAAAAGCGATACTAAAAGTAGACCAACTGGACATGTAACTATGCTTACGTAGAAGAAAAGTGGTAAGATGAAAACTGTCCTTCATATTGATTGGCACTGTCAGGTATTTAAGGAGAAGACAAAGAAACAAAAGAAATGGAGCTACCATGAATGGAGTCACAGTTATTTCTTAAAAACAAAAAAACAAAAAAAAAGTTCAAAATTCAAATTTCATTTCTAAATACACTACACTTTTCCAGTGAAAAATGACATCTTTCTGACAATTAGTAAGCTTGTATCATACATTCACAATGTCCAAAAAATTACACATCTTAGTGAAATAAATATGCATTTTATGTAGGAGCTGTACCAACAGTAAGAACAGAATAAAACCTTATGATAGCAACAATGTCATGGAAGCACAATTGCGAGAAAATACAACATAAATGTGAAGTAAATATATCATTTGTTCCTAACGAGGTATGAAAATCAGCAGAAGCAAAGATTACCTTTTGTCTGCTTACATCCTTGATCCAAGAACGAACAATGTTGTTTATCTTGGAAAGAACTTCAAGCCTGAAACGCAAAATAAAAAACCACATTCTTTCAAATTTCCCAGGCAGAATCATGAAATGACATTTTAACAGACCTTCAGTCCAATCCCAAAAAAAGGACTTACACTCATATTTCAAAACTACAGATATATATTTGAGCCTCCTGACAAAATGTAGCAGCAGCATACCATAATCATGTGTACCAATGTTCTACTCTTACAAGCACTTCAAAACTAAGCCTACAGTAAAAAACACCATAATAATGGGAACCATGAAGACCTGCAAAAAAGAAGTATAGTCAAACCAGCTCTAATGACCCAAGGCATCCACCTGTTTAAAAGAACCACTTTCTCCACAATAATAGGTGACTGTCTTTGACAAGTTCAACAGTACCATCAAATTGGTCTAGCTATGATAAAAGAGTTCATCCGCCAAAAAAACCCCCAACAAAGTCTAGCATACATACAAGACAAAAAAATCCCACTGCTAAAAAGAAAAGTAAAGCTACCTAAAGATCTTTAAAACTGAGCCCTCAACATAACAAGTCTTATAATAACTTATGTCCTACCGATGATTCAGTTCAGCTTCACTTTCAAACACATCATGAGGACGAAGAGCATCCACTAATTTCTCTGTCAGCTCCAAGTCATAAGGCTTAGGCTCTGTGAGACTCAGGGGTCCTGTCACACCTGGATAGGAGGATTTTGACCCACCGTAGTCAAGAGCCATCCTAGGAGAGAGAGAGAGAGGGGTATGAGGGTGTGGGTTAAAATATCAAAATATGTATTCATAATCTTTTAAAAGTATTACTATATAACCCCCTTTAAAAAAAAAAAAAAGCTGTCTTTACTAAAAAAAATAATAAAGCCTTAGCCCAGAATGCCAGAGTCAGATTTTAAAATTGATTTTCATTTTATTTTTTAACTTCTAAATTATTATTATTCATCTAAATTTCTAGGGCTCATTTGTCCATACTCCAACTGAAGACAAAACATTGCTGCATGTTGCAGCTAGTACGAAACATTGACAAGTGAGGCCTCAAAGAGTAAATATAGGGTAAATTATTTGGCTAGAAAAACGTTTAGGCATAAAATAATGAAATCTTTGGTCTTTTTTTTTTTTAATGAATTCGAAGCACAAAGCTTAGAAGAATTTAACATTTGAGCACTGAAACCTTTTAAAAAATCAATAATTATTCCACAGAAACAAACAGGGCATGTGTGGAAAGACTGTTTTAGGTTCTCAACAATTATATCATACTTGCCAACTTTCGTAACAACAGAAAATAAACACGGATGTCGGGATGAGAGCATTTTATTTATAGCATCCTATCACAACATGGGACCTTAAAGAATATGTTGGCAGCGTGTCTATATATGTTTCTTTGATGACTTCAGACCATGCCAACCTCAAAAAAATGTTAATTCAATCCAGCATGACTTTTTTCCCGTTTAGATGCCAACACCGCTCGCCTCAGATACCCCCATTGCAATGTTACAGGGGAACAGAGAGAAAAACAACCGAAAGCGCGAGTCTGCAGAGGCCCTTTGTAGGTCGCATACATTTGCCGAGGGAGTGAGGAGAAAATGGCCAGTCTCCGTGCGAAGTCGATTTGGATAGGGGGGAAGTCGTGCATTTATGATCGGGACAAAACGACTACAGTCGAACCTGCCATGACGGCCACCTGTACAAACGGCCACTTTCCATTTCCCCCCTTGCGTTTAAAAAAATATAATTTAACTGTGTAAAACGGCACCTGTCCAACGCGGCCGAGGCCACCATATTTTAACACACAACCCCTATCACATCAAACAATAACACCTGTTTTAGACGGCCACCTTAGAGACTCCATTACATTTTGTCATAAATTGTGCATTGGCCCCTGGCGTTGTGGACGAGCCGTCATAACCCAATCACCTGTCGTTGTTGTTAGGTAGTCCCTCCAACCGATCATGTTGCGTAGGCCCCTCTCAATGTTGACCAATAGGTAACAAATTTTCAACTGCTGGTGAGGTAAGCGTGTGATCCCTCATAACACCTAAGCCCCGCTCAGATCTCATACACAAATCGTAAGTGAGATGAATGGTCACTGTTTACCCGGTCTTTAACAAAGTAACAATGGACGCCAACATGAACTTGTGACAGAAGCGTTGCTCGTTCTCCGAGTGGTGGCGACCTATGCGTTTGTTTTACCATAGCTATAACCACAACAACAATGCCGCCACCTCAGAAAGGAAGGGTTTGTTTTCTTCATCTTGATCAGTCCTGCCTAAGACGGCCACTTTTATCCTTGACAATGGATGGCCGTCTTACACAGGTTCGACTGTACTTGACACAGAACGTTCAAATTTGAGGACACTATCCAGGGTTCCTGCCATGAACTTCCCATCAAATTCAAGGAGGTTTCAAGGAGAAATTTTAAACATTCAAGGAGGTTTGGTCAAGAAATTCACGACGAAAGCATATTTTCGATAGGCCTACACTTGTCAGAAAGGAATCATATCATAGTTTCGATTTCCAACAAAAACTGTTCCCAGGGTGACTGCCAACCCGGCTTTTCAATTTTCCAGGTGGGCTCATCCATTCTCCAGGGGCATATTACACAACAATGACAGTGCATGCTCCATTTTCATTTTATATGTAATATATACACACACGCGCGTGCGCACCCATGTAGGTACATTATATCCAGTCAACAAAAATGTCAGTATGGCACTGGGGTACTGTGACTTAGGTAGGTATTTCAGTCTGTTCTTATACTTATTTATATTTTCCCCTCATCATATTCGCCTCTATATAAACTATATAAAAATGAATCTTGCTTTAAGCCTGAGAAAAGGTCTAGAACCAGAATATCGTCCATCAAGAACCAGTTTGGGAGTCAAAGTTTATATAATAAACGTGAAAGACAAAAATTATTGCTCAAACTCAAAGTAGAGTAATAACATGAATGGCTCAAGTAGACCTATTCAGTGTGAGAGGTGTAAGAACTAACAGTGGGAGGGCAAGATGCAGTGACACTGAAAACCTGCGAATCTTGATCAGAAAGCTAGAATATAGAATATAGTACAATACATATAATTTACTATCAAGTATCACCTGCCCTATGAAACGGGAACCCTTTAGTAAAAAAAAAACCCCAAAAAACACGGCTTACAAGATTTAAGTGAGACAGATCCAGATTCCACACAAGGCCTGCAGCAACGCGCGCTTTGCAGAGAGATCAAGATCTAGATTTAGATCTAATAGCAATCAAAATTCTGGAAAGTAAAATCTGCTTCCAAGTTCAGTTATTGTCATCCGGTGTTGCCTTCAACCCCATATCCCGCCAACCTCCTCCCCTACGTGCGGCTTTTTAAAAAAAATCAATAATATTAATACCCACATTCCCGAGCCCTATACTTCGCAGCGCTCAGAATTTGGTGACCTCAACCATTGCCCACCGCCGATACTCACAAAGTGACGAAAACGCACAGGTTCAATGACCGGTCACGATGGCGGGCCCGACAAGAAGCTTGTATGTATAACTCACTTTTTCTTTCTTGTTTTTTCACAAGCGACAGCACAGTACAAATGAGTTGTTTTCATGGCGACACCGCGTTTGTAATGCAGAACCTGCATGTTACAAATGCGGCGCTCTCAGACTACTATAGGCCCCACCGGCAAATTTCTGGGCGGTAACGAAAGTGAAAGCAGATCTTGATTTTCCCGATCGAGCTTCGGTACCGTACATACACTTCCACTTGTTGCCGCCATAACCGCCTGTGCGCGGGTAACATACTCTCGGGCTGGGAAAAGCCGAATGAATATTATATTATATCACAATCGCGACCGGCAAAAATTAACTCAGGGGCCCCCGGGATTCGGGATTCCCGGGGCCTGGTAATCACCCTGTGTTCCTGTCCGATCTGGCAAAATTCAAGGGGTTTTCAAAGACATTTTTCCTTGAATGCGAATTCAAGGAGTTTTCAAGGAGATTTTTCCTTGAATGCAAATTCAAGCAGTTTTCAAGGACTCCTTGAATTCAAAGAGGCCGCGGGAACCCTGACTATAGAGGAAAGATAGATCTATTACCTTCTCGACGTTGAAATTCAAGCTCCTTTTAGTTTTCGGTACACCTGATATGAAAAATATAGGTTAATTTATGAGTACGAACTTCAAAGTCCACATTGTCCTATTTTTTTTATTGGTTGCAAAGTTCCATTCCCATTGGTCCAGAAATAGAGCAGACCGAGGTTGAGAAAGTTAGTCCACTTACGTTCCGACCAGGTCCAAAACTTCAGCCGCAAACAGGGACTAAGTGAGAATAAAACGGATACTATTCTCAAGACAGCCTAGTATTCTCACCCGGTTTTTTAATTTCCAGCATCACCCCCCTGTCACTGAGCACTCCAGGCGACAGAACTCGCCTACCTCTCTCACTCCACTGAGCGCGAGAGGCGACTAAAATTGCCAAGAGGTGGGCCAGCTCTCAAGCGCGGGAGGCGACTATTGTCAATTTGGGGGAAAAAAAGTATCTTTTGAGCAAATATAGGGTCACCTTTTGTTGCTATTATTGGTTCTGTAAAGGAAAATTTTACTCTTGAATGGCTTAACCAATCAAAATTAAGAACAAAAATAAGCCGCGTGCCTTCGTGGGTTCATGTTAGGGACAACATGTTTATTGTGCCGTAAACAAACCTGTATTGTAAACATTACAATGACATACCAAGGGTTCATTTTTTATATGAGTGACTATGGGTCAATTGACCCACTCAGGCCAAAATCAATGGGTCAATCTTGTGAGTGATGGGTCAAGTTTGTAAGCAACATGCATGGAGAGTTGTTCTCGGTTGTTTTTGTAAAAAAAAATACATTTCATGAAGAAAGTGGCTATTCTCACCCGCCCGGAAGTTCTCGCAAGATCTACTCCTCCCCTCTCTCTCTCTCTCTGTCTCTTTCTGAATACTGTCTATTGGTGTGGACGATCAAATTGACCAAAACAAAGTTAAAAAATGATGTTAAAACACAAAAGTAAATTAATTTGGTTGTCTACAAAGATGCTACGGCTATTTAACTTTTCGAATCGAGCCGAACTACGCGGGTCGCCATTTTGTTTTGCCTGGAAGTTCTCGCGCTACTCCTCTCTCTCTCTCTCTGTCTCTCCACTGCCCAGACAAAATTAGCAATGCCAATCGGGCTTTCCCGCGAGGCGAAAATTTGGTCCCCGTTTACGGGCGAATTTGCGGACCCGGCCGAAGCGTAGGTGACTAACTTTGTCAACCTCGGTCTGCTCTATTTCCGAACCAATCCGAATGAAACTCGGCAACCAATCAGAAAATAGGGCAAACTAATGATATGTGAACGTTGAAGTTCGTACACATAAATTAACCTATACTTTTGGTGTCGGGAACACTTTCGTATCGTGTACACCAAAAACTATAAGGAGTTTGAATTTCAACGCCGAGATGGTAATAGATCTATCTATCCTCTATAGTGTGCTCAAATTTTAACGTTCTGTGTCAAGTAGTTGTTTAGACCCGATCATAAATGCACGACTACCCCCCTATCCAAAGCTGCTTCGCACGGAGACCAGCCATTTTCCCCTCACTCTCGTGACAAATGTATGTGACCTACAAATCCCCGCATGACTATTCCGGGCCCGTTCATTGGTCACTTGAAATAGGGCAATGGCGGGCGCGCGCATCCGGTTGTTTTTCTCTCTATTCCCCTGTAACATCACAATGGGGGTATTCCGAGGCGAGGTTATCTCTTCTCGGGGTGTTCGCGTCTCAACGGGGAAAAATAATTTTTAATTGTACGGCATGCTAGATTGAATTAACTTATCTTTTACGATTGGCATGGTCTAAAGTCATCATAAAAAGCTTTGCAATTATTTAGTCACGCTGCCGACATATATTCTCAAAGATCCCATGTTGTGATACGATGCTATAAATAAAATGGACTCATCCCGACACCCCTTTTTCGCAAAATGGTAATATGTACACCACAATTTTAATTATAACAAAATAACTACGAAATTGGTAGTAAATCTGACTGCAGAAATGATTTCTACACTCGAAAACACACTGAGTAGCCAAGTTTCTCTCGAACACTCCGATTAGTTACCTAGATATCGTCGATTTTCTTACAGAACCTGCTACTGACACTGCGTGGTCCACTTTTTAGGAGTATTTTCGTATATGTGGGTCATCCATATTTTGCCGACCTTTACAACCCCATAACTTTTTTATTTATGAACCGATTCTCAAAATTCAAGAAGCATAATTCTTAGAATTGAAAATTCTTTCTTAGAGGTACCAAAAAAAAAAGGCCACCTCTATTCTCACCCGGGATGAGAATAGTGCAGGCTAGTCTTTTGGCTATTCTCACCCGGTGCGCGTTCACCGTTATAGCCTAGATCTAGGCCAACAAATTTTGCGTTCACCCTAAACCACAGAATTCTACACTGTGATAACAGAAAAATTGTAGAATTCTGTGCCGTGAACAAACGTTCCATTACAACCGTAGCCTACTAAAAGCGTACAATTTTGTATGTGGGCAGTGGAGAGAGAGAGAGAGAGAGAAAGAGACAGAGAGAGGAGTAGCGTAGGCACTTGGATAAAAATTTCAAAGCTTTCAAATTGCTTTAAAAACAATACCAATGCAAAGAGCTCAGTGACACGATTCCAACGCTACCTTAGTTATTGCTCTATGTTGAACCGTTTTTGAGATATTGCATTTTAAAGATCTTTTCGAGGGGATAACATCTATATAGAAAAAAAAGGCAATTTTTGTGATCGAAACAGCAAGGACAATAAGGGAAATGTAAGCTGCTTCAATATGCTGCTGCGTACATGCTAAAACCAAACATTTTCTGAAACCTTGTGATATTGAGGACAAAATAACAGTCAGACGATATTTTTAAAATATATCGTGGTGGGTAATATTGGGTAATATTATGTAACACTGTGTTGTGTAACGTGACCGCATCGTCCTGCGGTCAATATATTTTGCCATAACTTTCTTATAAATTAAGCTACATCAATAATTGAGGTATCATTTTGAAGGTCTTTTTAAGGCCTTTCTTTTGGAACATCTACATATCAAATATCAGTAGAATTAACAAAAAACTGATTAAAAAATATAGTATATTTTAACAAAACAGCTGGTCGCCTAAAATAAGATGAGCATAGCAGTTTTTAAAGTTAACATTTGTGTCTACAGCTGCTGCAAACTAGTGTTTTTTAGTCTACCTTAATTCATGATAATACTGTTTTTTAAATTCATTTTGCATGTTATTGTTAGAATGTTTCTTTCATGTTTTAATTTGTCATGTAAATGATCAATTACTCTGTCTTTATCTTTGATTTCTCTTTTACATCTTTAACTCATGAGATTGCCCTGTAAGTTAAACAATAGTCTCTTCTAATTTTATTACTTCAGTTTGTTCAGCAAGTTTTTCATTATATTTTTATTGTGTTTATTTAAATGTTCAACTTCTTCAAAGACAATTAGTTGTGAAATATGACATGTTTTTTGAAGCACGCAATTGTGTCACGATACTTATTTATTCTTTCTTTATTTCTGGCAATTGTTTAGTTCACCCAGTCTGCCAACTTGATATTGTTAAATTAATGTCAATTTTTTTTTCTTGTCTGCAACAAATGCTTTCTTAAGTGCTCAATTTTTTTGCAACTTGTTCAAACAAGTTTTTCTGTGAATTCGACCAACTCCGCAAGCATTTCTGGATTTTAATTAAAGTCAGGATTTATTCTGGTGAGCTGTCAATAAATCCAATGGAACAGTGGCAGGTTGTGATCAGGGGCTGTGGAAAGAAAAAAAAAAGCAAAGCAATGAATTCATCAATGAAGTAAATAAATTCATTTGTGAGCAGTGGATGGAAATTTGACATTTTCACACTACAACTCTAGTAAAGGGAGAGTGTAGATGACTAGAGTAGACTAGACAAGAGAAAAAACATCTTCTAATAAACATGTATCTTAAAACAAACTGGACAAAGTACATGAAAATTTAAAGAGATATTTAAATAACAAGCACACACAAAAACAATTAAGAAGAAAAAATATTTAAAGACAATATAAGCACACAAAAGAAGTAAAAACTTGCGTGAAATCGATGGTCTAACAGTGACAGTAACACAGAAACAAAACAAGGCCAAGGCTGTTACATTTCCCTCCCCCCACCCAAGACTCCTTACTGATTGTTACATGGTGCAAATTCATAAAAATTATACAACAGTGATACATATTACATTCCAAAATTTAAAATGAATCATATCTTCTACTATAAAACATTCTTCAATGCCGTTTAAGAGGTAATAAACGCCAACAATACACGTTAGCGTGGGTTAAGTTCGCTTTCCGCAATGGCCGCCATGACCTCCCGGTTCACGCTCAGCAGCGCGATCGATAATAGGTCATGCCCATTCATGGAGAGTGACCTATTTAAATTAGGGCTCACACGCTTATGCCTCAACGTACAACATTGAAATTAACAAATAAAAGAGATAAAAGGTTGAAGAAAAGACTGTGAGGAGTACCTAAAAAAAAAAAGATATACTCTTTAAATATAAAGGCTTGAACTTACCTTATTTTTAACTCCTTGTAACTCCGAACACACACAACCGATCCCGAAGTGGAAAACGCCATAATACGCGCCTTTCTTTCCTCTTTAATTTGATAGGCGGAAGTAATCCATAAATTGAAAAGAACACTATAAACGAAACAAAACAAATAGGTACCCCCCTCACGGGGCCCGATTTCTGACACAAAACGCGGCGGCCGCAGGTGAACGAAAATCTCGGGCCGCGCGGGCCGATATCCAAGTGCCTAAGTAGCGCGAGAACTTCCGGTCAAAACAAAATGGCGACCCGCGTAGTTCGGCTCGATTCGAAAAGTTAAATAGCCGTAGCATCTTTGTAGACAACCAAATAAATATACTTTTGTGTTTTAACATCATTTTTTAACTTTGTTTTGGTCAATTTGATCGTCCACACCGATAGACAGTATTCAGAAAGAGACAGACTAGAGAGAGAGAGAGAGGGGAGGAGTAGATCTTGCGAGAACTTCCGGGCAAAACAAAATGGCGACCCCCGTAGTTCGGCTCGATTCGAACAGTGAAATGGCCATAGCATCTTTGAGGACAATCAAATTAGCTTACTTTTGTGCTATAACGTAATTTTTTCTTGGCTTTTATCAATTTGATCATCCACACCGATAGACAGTGTATTCCAAAATGAGGAAAAGCAGGTCTCGTTTCGCACCGGGTGAGAATAGCCTACGCTGGCAAGTCTCACCAGGGGTGAGAGGTAGAATCTAGATCGTTTTTCTATTCTCACCCCGGATGAGAATAGCCACTTCCAAAAAAAAAAGGGCAAAAGTGAAAATTTAAATTTTCATTGGCATTGCTAACAAAATTGTACGCTTTTAGTAGGCTACAATTGTAATGGAACGTTTGTTCACGGCACAGAATTCTACAATTTTTCTGTTATCACAGTGTAGAATTCTGTGGTTTAGGGTGAACGCAAAATTTGGTGAACGCGCACCGGGTGAGAATAGCCACAAGACTCGCCTGCACTATTCTCACTCCGGGTGAGAATAGAGGTGGCCATGTCTTATACAGCTTGAGAGGGGGTAAACACTTTATACATTGAAAGCTACGAAAGATAGGGCGTTATTTTCATCATCGATTAACACACTCCCACGAGACGGTATTCCTGGCGAAAACACACGTTTCCAGGCGCGTGCACTACTGTAAAACCAACACTCAACAGTACACACTGAGTGCCCCCGGAGGCCTGCCCGAACATCCGCCATAATCTGTTGCTGATAAGATTCGCATCTCAGCACAGACGCAGGACAAGAGTTATAAGACAAGTATTAGTAAAGAATATCCGAAAGAATATCAATAGAAAGTAGGGTAGGCCTAAGCCTAAGCTACAAAACTAAAACAGCTTACGACTGGCAGAAGTAGAAGGAACAAGACAGAACAATTTATCAATCATGTCAACAGTTACAGTAGTCACCTGTACTAGATCTAGATGGATCTAGAATCTAGATCTAGATCTAGTCTAGAACGTAAGTGTACGCCTGGCTAACACGTTCTGCCACTGTTGACATGTTGTAGTTAGTGCCACCATCGATTCACTCAGTCATTGACAAAAGACTAAAGTGGAAGTGGAGTTGTTTGCTTCCTACTCACAGTCACAATGAATTGCCAAGAAAACGGACACTTATAAAAATAACAAGAGTTAAATTTTTCTTTGGCACTATGAAACTAACTACAAACCTTGTGTATTTTGTCCAAACTGGTCAATGTGCCATACGCTGAAGTATAGACGAGGAAATACACCCTAAAAATATTTCTAAAGATGTGTTGCCAAACGCGTTTTCCAACAACACTATGGCGGGTTGGATATATCCCAGTGTGCATACAATATCCGGAATCCTACAAGCCTATAAAAAAAAGTATAAAATCAAGAGGATTGAGTAGATCTAGAATCTAGGTCAAAATTGGATTATCATAAAAATTACACAATCTCCCAAAAATAATTTTGTCTATATTTTGGCATCATATTATTAAATGTTCTGTCATATTTGATATGTGGTAAAAGCTGTAAGCAATATGGGATAAGAAGAGTCACATGACAATGTTTTTGTTTCTATTTTTAGACCGGAATGGGGGAAATCTGATTTGGACTTCAACCAGATAGCAGTCAGCACACAATAGACTAGAGATCTGGTGTGACTGTACTTGGACTTGGAGTATAGCCCAGTGCACGAACAACGCTCCTTCTTGGCCTTGGCCTCATACGGAATGACTTACCTTGGTCACCACCACAGTTTGGCAAGATAAAGAATGTGACATTGTCTCGGACGATTTTGAAAAAATGCGTCACTCCATGACCATAGGCCATATTCAATATATTGACTACTATAGACCATAGTGGCATAGTAGATGTCTAGTCTAGATTCTAGATGTAGATAATAAGCATGATCAATATTATTGTAGACCTAGAGTAGAGGCGTATTTTCTTCAAGATAGTAGAAATAGATACTTCTAGATCTAGATCTAGTCGATGTAATGAATCAATGAATGATGGCTTTTCGAGAACGCATCACTGGAGTTCTTCAAGGGGGTTGCACACAAGTTTGGGCTTTAGGAACATGGCCCTTCAGGAAAACATTCTCAGTGCTAGAAGTGATTGCAGAATTTATACTTACCAAGGTGAAAACTACAGCTCAAAAACTGGTTGTCTTGGCGCTGGCTTGTCTCACGATCTTGTTTATGGCAGTGTTGTTGTATGCAGCTTTTCTCCATCTATATTTGCCGACAGCAGAAATAGTAAGGCCAGTGCACTTCTCCTTCAGGTAAGAGGATGGATGGCACTGTTTTAGTTTTATAAAATTATGGTGATATGAACTTTATAAAGATCTTGATCAGTATATAATATTAATAATTCATGCCTCTCCTTTAGTCTATACAGGGTGATTAAAAAAACAACCAACATACAACTTTTTTTCTAAATATCTTGCACGAAATTTGTACTATAGAATGTTGTAATTCGGAAGACATAATTCTTTCAAAAGAAATTTATTTGACCTAAAATTCATAGAGAAGAAACTTATTTTAGAAAAGGAAAATGGCTTTTTTTATAAAAACCACCCATAAACGCAAAATGCTCCAACCGTTCGTAATGTTCAGTGGTGACTAAACACAAGGATCCTCTCTACCATGAGAGTACTCTAAGTCACACACAGGGTACACCTGCCTACAGTATTTGTGAAGAGAACATAATATTCCCTGAAAGGTGAATATATATATATGGGCTTTGCCAAAGAACCAGCAAATGTCATTGAAGAAATTAAATGTTCTCGTTTTTCAAGACGATCGAGGAATCATGAACACATTGCTATCCTCTGGTTCACATCAGCTTTAGGAACAGGAAAATGTACAGTCATAGTATAGATGAAGATCTGCCTTGAGAATGCAAACCATCTTGAGGTGTGTAGGAAAATCCTAGCTGCAGACATCATCTCCGGAGAGACGTCTTATGGACTCATCTACGGAATTCTACACCCTGGTGATGTTTAAGGGGTGCGAATGGCCTGAAGTGGTAGTTTTGTTGGGGAATTTTTTGTACTGATTCTCTACAAGTCCTAACTGGTGGAGCATCTCTGCCCTTAATAAATAATAATAGATAGCATTTGTATAGCGCATATCCCCGCTCAGCAGCAGGCTCTATGCGCTTTACACTATATTATGCCCTTGACATCAAAGAAATTTTTAAGGGCACTTAAACAATATTTCCGTACCTTGAGCGAAACCTACGATATGAGTTGGTGGTGAGGTAATGTTCAATTAATATGAAAAGCACTCTGCTTTTTACTTATCTTAAACATGATCTCTGTAGGCAAAGTATACTTGAGGAAAAACAGCTTGTGATATGGTGCAATTGTTGGGACTTATAGTGGTAGGCTTAATGCGAACTAGTGTGTCATGCTACAAAAATGGGGACATAGGTGAAAACGGGTTGTTTTTTACGCACTCTGTAGAGCAAAACTATTCTGTGGATTTCTCTAAAACCAATATCCCAAATTCCTTTTGAATTCCAAATTTTGTGTGTACAAATTTGAAACGCAAAGCTTACGTGTGGAAAAAATATTTACAGAAAAGTTGTAGGCCTATACTTTTTTTTGGATCGCCCTGTATTTGATATATGAGCTGGTTGAAATTCTCATTTAATTTGAATTTCTGTAATTCATTTAGAGGGCCATTCATTCATTGTTTAATAGTAATAGATTTATGCAGGTCATTATAAACTTTTTCAATTCACAGGATCAGAGAAGTTTCATTTCTATTAGTCTTGTACTGGAATGATATATTCCTGTGTATGACAGAAACTCAGAGGGTGCCTTCAAAATCACTTATCTAGTTTACAGTTGTACTTTGCTAAGTCAACCTGTCAAGCTCTTTCTTTTTGGCTTTGGCTCTTCTTTTGATAAGATATGTCAGGCATCATGAAATGAGACACTTATCAAAATAACTAAATCGGAGAAACGGGCAGGTTTCCGCCAGTTAAGCAATTTTTATCAAATTTTTGTTTTTTTGGCTCAAACCCTTTTATGTCCATACATTTTACTGAAAGACATTGATTAAAGGCGCAAAATATGTCATTTTTCGGTTTTCAAGGACTCTTTAGGTATTGGAGTTACCAAACTTTGGCGGCCATTTTCTTGCTAATTTTACCACTGAAACCAGACGACCTCACCCTCTTCAGTCACAAATATCTTCACTTCTATTCAAGATAGAGATGCATATTTTTTTTCATTGAAAGCAAAACAAATGAAAAGCTTTCAGATGATACCTTAATAACTCCATGTATGCCCAAAAATTGACAAGTGCCTGATTCCACTGTATCGTAAATCAAATGACTAATTTCAGTATAGGTTTTAGGATTCTAAAGTAACTTAACTCTCCTGACTGAAGAATGGAACTCAATTTTTTAACACACTCTACCGCAGTTATTGTAAAGCCTGCTCAGTTCAGCACTAGTCCTTCCTAAAATACTTGTCATTAGACTGTAAAATAAATAGCCGCACTGCAATTACAAAGTAAAGTTTAATAATAATAATAATTATAAATAGCATTTATACTGCGCATTTCCATTTCCTAAAAGATGCTCAATGCGCATTACAATGAAAAAGACATCACATCTTAAAAATTAATCAACAAGTATGTACGTAAAACAAAGTATTATACATAAATATAAATGCATATGTGTAAAATTTTATA